CGCGTCGCTCGACGACGCACTTCCTTATAAACACAGTTTGGCGGGCTTTTGCGGCGTCAACGCAGTTAGTTCATGTGTTGGTCACGTGATCGTCACGAAGCAGCACACGCACCGACACATGGATTGCTCTCTGAGCTCGACGCACGCGTCGACGCATCGGTGTTGCTGGACCCACCACTAGTGTTTATCTCGTCATATTTTTTGCTTATGCCATGGGTTTTGTTGTTACTTGTTACTAAAGTTTTTATGTTTTCAGGACTTTGCTTGTTTTGGGTTTGGTTATCTCAGTGTTTGATCAATAGATTTTGTCAAGTTCACCCTGCTCCTGCCTCTTGCCTGCTTTTTGGCGTCCTCCACCACACCCGCACCGTAACAATATGTTGTGCTGCTCTTGATTACTGTTGTGTTCATTAAAGATCCCTTAACCTTTATTGAGATGAAACGACTCTACAGCATAGCCTTAAAATCCACACACTCTTATTAAAGTGGCCTTTTTGTTAGTTAAATCTCACAACTAATTAGGAATGGAAGTTATTCAAACAAAGTGCATTATCACTTGTACATTTAGCTTAAAATGGGAAAAGTTTGCTGCATTCGGACTAATTCAAACATGCCTCTTTCCTCAGTTCTTTTGTTGGTAGGGTTGAGGTCTGCCAGAGAGAGGCTGTACTGTCGATTATAGGGGGAAGTGAGAATAATTACTGAAACTTCAGCACACGGCATGCAGGTGTTCATTCCAGAAATATAATTACAAACTTTGATTTTTTTTTTCCCCCTCCTTCTATTCAACACCATGAAAAGAAACTATATGTGGTCTTTTGGTGCACTTTCAGGATTTGCCTGCTCATACTGTATGTTTACAGTGGATGAACAGTTCCAGAATCAAAGAATTTGGGAATAATTATAACTAAAATAAATGAGGCGGACATGCTAAACAGTCAAACACCATGCTGCCTCAGTTTCAGTGAAAATACAAGTTAAACAAAAATCTCAAACCGAGAAAAAAAAAGATTGATTCCTTTTGAGATCAGGGTTGCTTCAGTTGATCTCACTTGCACCTTTGTCATTTGGCTGACATGTTTGTAATCATAAGCCATAAACCAAAACCAAAATTAGTAATGAGGATAATGGCCTTGAAGTCCACCAGTACTTAAAAAATCATTGCAGTTGTTCATGGTTGCCTGCATAGTAAATCAAAGTACAAGTGCATGAATGGACTCATGAAGCAGGATTGCTTGTCTTAAAAATAAAATACCACTGAACTCATATGACTATGCGACTATCTCATCCCCCCCCGCACACACACACACTTTAATTTGATTGCAATGGTATATTGGAGAATGCTGAGTGCCATTCTCAAGGATGCTTGCTTTCCGAGGGGCACCGCTAACCCTTTGATTACTCGAAGGTCGAAGGTTTAAATCAGCAATGCTGGCAATGAGGACATCTGTTGTTGGTATTTACAGCTTTTGAATGGGTGCCAGCTCATTGAAACAATTACACAATGGTATCCCTGCAGACAGCTAATAGTGGGACTGAATCTCTGTTGTTGAAACAAAGGAGCTCAACATTGTTGGAAACAATTAAGCTAGCTGAATCTGTGCAGCTTTAAATACATGCATTCATAAGTTTGAGAGGATACATGACGGAAACACCTGTTGTTGTTGTTTTTTTTTTTTTTGCATTCTGCAGGCTATGACTAATTTTGTTCATTATCGGACTGTGGGAGGAAGAGTGCGAAGAACAATCAGAGCCTGCATAGGGACTACGAGAAAAGGCAGAATTAATGGTCAGCAAATGTAGATATACTGTATGTTATATTTAAAAATTAGAGGCCAGCATTGTCACACTGTGGACCAAAACTCAGCACAGCCTACTTAGCGCTCACGTCTGTCAAGTAATCAGACAGTTCCAACAGATCCTTAACACTTCTATTTCTTTGGAGACAACACACAAGGATATTTTCGCCCGCCTGTGCTGAAGTAAATTTCTTACGTGTATTTCTTGCGCATTTTCAATGTGTGGAAAATTTCTGGTCCAAGGTTTCTGACACACCTACCATGTGTAACCTCGGAATCCACGGCGCCGAACAGCAGTTTTCATCTCCTACAAGTTTTTGACTCGCTTGTCTTTGACTTAGCTCAACTTGCTTTTTACCATCGTGAGCTTTCATTTCATGCACCTAGTGTTGACATGAGCCTGTGGTTATAACAGTTTGTGCTCATTTTATCTACATCACTTTCATGCAGAGGCGATTGCTCTAAGACTGCAAGGGAAGCTCATCTTCCCCTAAAATGTCAAAAAAATAAATGATCAAATATATGTGTGTACATACAATTGTGTGTACGTCATTGACTAAATATGCGCTACAAGGCGCTCAACTTTTTTCCGAATCAGCTTCTTATTACTGGTTATGACGCGACTCTCTTCTCATTCATTCCCGCAGCTTCACTGTGCTTTAAACTGTGTGGACGCAGAGCGTCTACAGCGCGGACGCTGGGCGTCGAGAGAGTTCAGTGTAGGTTGTCCCAATGCATTGAAACGAGACGAGTCATTGGATAAATGCTGGTTTTGTCCCGCCCGTCGGACGCTCAGTGTCTCTGGGAGTCTATGGACAGTGGGCGTGTATCGGCACGCCCGGACGCTGAGCTTTTCTGCATGATGATTGGATGATCAGTCTGAGGCTGAATCTCTTTTTGATTGAGAGCGAAATGTGCCAATCACCGATCTTTTGGTGTAGGCATCCGTGGGAGCATCTTTCAATTCTCATTCTGTTCTGAGTTGAACTGGAGACTTCTTCTAATCATCTTAGCGACACTCTCTTTGTTGAAAACGACTAGCGACGAATTAATTTTTATTTCTGGTGGGTTTTATTGTAGTTGTTGTAGTTGTAGGACATTAGTTAAGTCCCTGGAAAAGACATCTTGTTGGTATGACAGGGCCACAGATAATTTTCTTGAAAAGGAACGGAGAGTAGAATTCACGTAAAAATAAATGGACACATTTTATGATGTAGGCCAAAATTGAGCTTCCCCTCCTTGACAGACTAGCACTGCTTTCATGGCAATTAACTTTTAGCTGACATAACTTGTAGGTCAGGTTACCTGAGTCAAGTCAAATCATGTGACTGGAGTACCTGAGCACTAACCCTAACTCAGATGTGTTTTCAGAGTACAAATATGCTCCAACCACTCATACTCCAGCCCTCGATCAGGTGGTGTTGAGCAAAGGAGAACACTAAGAAGGAAGTAGTTTTCATGCCTGACTGCTAGCTTTGGCGTTAACAACCAAAAGTGATTTAACATCCTAATTCATTCAGCTTCTATATTTACGCACCAGCAAAGCTATTTAGTTGAGCACTAGTGGATCTCTTTTACTTACTCCTGAGGATCTGGTTGCAGCATTAAACTGAAATGGAGCGAAAAGTGAGTTGGCAGGAGTGAAAGAACAAAATAATGTTGTAGAGCTCCGGCAATGTCACGCTTTGTTTCCAGACCGCCAGAATGATAAATTGCACTTGAGGAAAGTTGTCCTCTTTCCTTGTTCCTGGTATTCCTTTTATTTCTGTCGTCTCGGCACATCTTCTAGTACATTGTCAAATATACGGCTTCTTATCAAGAAGGGACTTTTCTCGCTAAAAGTTAACCTCCTCACTTTTTTTCTCCAAAGCCATTAATATTCTCCCTTCACACACACACACGCACGCACGCACGCACGCACGCACACACACACACACACACACAAAAACACACACACACACACACACAAAAACACATACACAGGCCAAAATACGATCAGTAATACGTGTCTCTCTTAACTTCCAGTGGTGTGTTTTACAGTCATTTAGTCGAAGCACTCTTGTGATGTTACTTTCCAAATGATTCATTTAAATTTTGATTCAGTTCATTTGTAATAATGCACACTGAACTAAATCAATCAGAATCCAAAAGGTACTTGCATAGCAATAAAGTTGAGGGTTAGTAATATTTTGATCGTACCAATAATTGTGACATTGATGATGATGCCGTTTCATGCCCAGGCAAGGCAAGGCAGCATTATTTACATTGAGCATGTTCTACACAAGGTGTGCTTCACCGAATTAAAACCACATTATAAAGCATTCACAAAGAAAATCGTTAGACATTTAAAAGCCAAGTAAAGAAACAAAAAGTAGCTTCATGTCCATTCATCCATTTTCTGGTCAACTTATCCTCACAAGGGTCGTGGGCGCACTGGAGCCTATCCCGGCTGTCATTGGGCAGTAGGCGGGGTATACCCTGAACTGGTTGCCAGCCAATCGCAGGGCACACAGAATCGAACAACCCACTCACGCTCACAGTCACACCTAGGGACGATTTGGAGTGTTCAATTAGCCTGCCACACATGTTTTTGGAATGTGGGAGGAAGCCGGAGTTCCCGGAGAAAACCCACACAGGCACGGGGAGAACATGCAAACTGCACACAGGAAGGCCGGAGCCGGAATTGAACCCTGCACCTTAGCACTGTGAGGCCGACATGCTAACCAGACGGCCACCGGGCCGCCCGTATCTTACTAAAAGTTTATAAAAAAATTGTGCAGTGCAATAACAAGATTATGGAAACATTAGTTCTTTGACCCATTTGGACATTCATTCATTCATTTTCCGAACCGCTTTATCCTCACTAGGGTCGTGGGGGGTACTGGAGCCTATCTCAGCTGTCTTCGGGCAGTTGGCGGGGGACACCCTGAATCGGTTGCTAGCCAATCGCAGGGCACACAGAGACGAACAACCATCTACGCCCACACTCACACCTAGGGACAATTTAGAGTGTTCAACCAGCCTGCCATGCATGTTTTTGGAATGTGGGAGGAAACCGGAGTACCCGGAGAAAACCCACACAGGCCTGGGTAGAACATGCAAACTCCACACAGGGAGGCCGGAGCCAGGCTCGAACCCATGACCTCTGCACTATGAGGTCAACGCGCTAACCACTGGACTACCAGGTCGCCCCATTTGGACATCCGATGCAAAATTTCAGCTTCGTGGGGTTATTTTTCACTGTTTGGGCAGTGGTGTACACCTGTCCAACAGTCCCAAAATGATCAAATATTGTGCAAATACTACATGGGGGTTTTAACAGTTGTGCAGGTGGTGCAGATAATCGTTGCACCATTTTAAAGTGACCAGTAGCAGTATTTGCAGAACGACTTTTTAGTGTGCAATTGTACATGCAAGGTGTGGTTTAACGAAATGTGAAAATGTCGAAAAAAGTTTTAAGTCCGTTAAATAGTTGTCGTAGAAGCTTGTTGATGAAGACTTATACACATAGAGGTTTAGTTTACTTTGTAATAAGGCAAAGAAATGTATCTCTGACAATGATGGTCAAGCTGAGGGGATGAGAGAAACTTTCTCACACACTGTTGAATGTAAAGTGTGTGGCCACAATTGGAGACAAGATGACAGGCAGTTCTGAGGTCAACCTGAGTTGTATCTTAAAGACAGAGCTCACCCTGCGGGTGGTTAAACCAGACATTTGCCGAACTCCCATCAGATCATCCAAGCATTCATTTCTCTGCCACTACTTCTCTCGAATGAGCCAGGATGAGCAGTAAAGATTTACATAATCTCTGAAGGGTTATGAATGATAGCTTTTGTGCCAGAGGCTGATAACACATCATCTTTCTGGGGTAGCAGTGTCCACAGGCACATCCTTGTGGAGATTGAAGCTCGGGGAGGTGAGACGGGCACAGTATTTCAAACACATTGGAAGTTCTGTCGGGTTATTAAAAGCACTTTTTTTTTTTTTCTGAAATTGTGATTAAACTTGAGTTGTTCGAGAAATTGCCTCTAACCTTCACCCTGACTTCCACACAGAAGCACAAAGACACAACTGCAAAAAGGTCATACCTTCAGTTTAGTCCTGAAGGCCACCGCTTATGTGTATGTTATCAGTATTCGAAAAACTTTCTTCCAAGTTGATTCAGAACTTTGGCCCTTTTTTTCTGCTCTCATGTAAATTGTCAAGTGAAGTGAGCCAAAGGAACGATTAAATAGAACTCAGTATTTCATTATCACAGCTGGTCCAGAAGAGCTCATGCTGGCAAAGAGACCCAGAGAGTGTGAATGAAATGAGGAAAAGAAACAAGCATTGCCTATTGCAGGGAATAGTGAATCGAAAGAAATTGCTTCAATCTGTTTTGACTGAAGTTGTCGTGTGAACACTGCGGATGAGACACATTTTGCATGAAATTTAAAATATACGAAATAAGATTGAGCAATATCACATTGTTTGGGAGAATTGTGGAGCAAACATAACTCTTGAACATATTTCATGGACTGATAAAAATTTAAAAATATGAAGTACTACATCTCGGTCAGTGAAAGCCTGGTTATATTTGAAAAAAAATATTGTAACTTTTATCTGGTTTCTTCCCATAGTGGATAACATAAATGTATGAATAAATAAATCGTTAAAGACAGTATAGCAAGGCAAATCACATACAGCCCAAGAATACCACGTAACCACATTTTGAGCATGACGTCTCTGATCCACTGGTGAAAGGACACTTTGATTCTCTCCTCTTTCATCTCAAACTGCTTCAAACAACAAAGCTGATGAGGAAAAAGTGGTTAAGATTGCACGACTGTCCGTGTTTTATGTTATGTGTTGTGTTTATTGTTTTACTTTATGTTAACTGTTTTGTTAAGGCCTTTTTACAGCTGCAGCTGTTGTGAAAGCGCTTTATAAAACAGGATGTATTGTATTATATTGTAACGGACAAAAGCAATTATTTCTATGATTGTATTCCTATTAATACATGGAGGGGAGATATTTGTTGTAATTTTTATTTGGTAGTCTTAAAAAAAAAAAAAAAAAAAAATGGAATGCTCAAGGCCAAACCCCAAAATCTGTCGACGTGTTTGAACAGGAAACTGAAGCAAAGAAGTAGAAAAAAAAAGTGATCAATCAATCAAAATAAAACATTCAAACATAAAAAACAAGACTATCTAACAATGATCCTACTGGGCTTTTAAACCCAGGTTAAAAAATATGCTTCCCGCCTTCCGCCTCTTTTAAAGTATTGTATTCTACCACTGATCACTTTAGCTCTGCTGGATACTTTGCACATTGTCTCATAGCTGCCATTGGGTGGTACTACTACACGACGGTACCCTGAGATTACGGAAAGTCTTTCGACACTTATTTGTCATGTCCTTGTTCATCATAGTTGTTTGTTATTAATAATACTAGTGTAGCCTGTACTACCGGAGACAAATTCCTTCCTTGTGTGTTCTACATGATTAGCCAATATCGATGATTCTGATTCTGAAACTAGTCTCTTGCCCTGCCTCACCCCCTGACATAGATTCTGGTCTGCTTTACTGACACTTCTCCTCTCTCTTGACCCCCCCTCGCCTTCTTCTGTTTGGAGAGTGAGATCGGTGGTTATGAGCAAAGTGAGGCTGTTGATTTTGAGGGTGGCGCCCTGTCCAACGGGGACAAGACCTGGGGACAACCACTTCCCGAGGGACATCTATCTTCTGCACTTCATTTCATTAACTAGACTCTACCCCACTACACAAACCACTCACGTCTTTGCTATTGACCACATCAACCATCAAAATGGCTAAACTGGTCCCTTGGATGAAAGTGTTTTTGTCATGTTCTGTCTGTTTCGATTGTGTTTCAGCTCCAGCTGGAGTGAAGGGCATTTCCCGCCAGCAGGCGCACCCGTTCCGTGTTTCTCCATCAAGCCTTGCCAAACATTTCAGGACTGGCAAGGTGCCGAGTCTCTTGTCGAATTATTGACCTTGCTCGCTGTGGTGCTTCAAGTGTTGTTTTCTAGACCTCTCGATACTCTCCATCGTCATTCTCATTATTTACAGAGTCTTGTTTGGAAGTATTTTTTTGTTTTTATTTTTGCTTTTGATCTTGGCTTCATGTTATTGGCCTCTTGACACTTTGTTTGTTTATACTTGGTGTTCCCTAGTACCTTGCCTTTCGCAAGCTTTTGTTTAAGGATTATTTCCCCTGGCTTCTTATGACCAGCCATTTCTGTTTGTACTTTGTCAGTGCTCTTTTCTGTAAATACAATGTTTGTTATAGCACTTTGACTGATGCTGCATTTCTGGAATCGAAAAACGTTAGATTTTTCACAACATTACACATTGTCATCATCATTGTATCATCATTGTTGTCGATGTGTGCGTGCTGCATGTGTGTGCGAGATGGATACATCTATATAGCTATATTGATCAATCTATTTATCTGTAGACATATCCCCCCCCCTCAAAATAAAAGGAAAACTGAAATAGTGAAAATCAGTTTAACATTCTCAGTGTTCATTTTGTGTTGTGGGAAACACAAGCTGATGAAGCAGTAACAGTTACTGTAATTGAATGCATACATTTGCACAGATGAGATGGGAGGAGGCACTAATGAGGGGGAGATAAGACGAAACATCAGAGGAAGAAATGGCAAATGGTGTGGGGGATTTGCTGCAAGTGCAATACTAAGATGACATAATAGTCCATTTCTCACCATTTCACAACCCTAATCGGACTTGGTGATGAGCCAAGTACTTGATTAGCTGTACATTCAAGGAATGCCGGAGAGATGCTCAAAGAAAAGTAAATGTCTTCCTTTCCCTCTAATAGGTCATTCTCTACCAATATGCTGTGATTTCCTCATTTTAATGTGTTGTTTTGAGTTGTTGCAGTTGTGTTTCTTCTGTGCTGTATGTACAGTATTACATCTATTGTGTATTGATTATGAAGACAGTATATGTATATTACTATCATAAAACGTCACTGATGGTGTAACGGTACACACGCCGAACTTGTGTGCAGGCAGTGTGGGATCGGTTCCTATTTGGTGGGGTAGCACTCTGCTTGGTCACAAGCCGTAATCTGAACAACCCCGGCCCGTTCAAGTGGTTTTCTTTTTTGTTTTTTTGTATTACGTCTGTTGATTTTGGAATACTGATCCAGGGAAACTTGTCTTTTTCTCTTTCGACAAAAATTATAAAGTGGAATGTCATACTGTCATTTCAATACTACAATTTTCGTTTGATAATTTTTATACTTTTTTTTTTAAGTACATGTATTGCTACCATAGTTCGTATGTGGAATATGTTAAGCGTTCGCTGTGTGGCAAGCAACTCGGGTACAACAACAATGCATGAACCTTGCATATATCAGGATTATTGTGCTGCTTATTAAAAATCATGAGTTGGACCCAGCCAAAGTGGCTGAGCTTTTTCATTTGTCAGATGTTTTTTTTTTTTTTTTTTTAATCAACCATGCAAATAATGACATTGACTACAGTACATTCATCACACATATGAGCACGCGATAAATACAGTACTAAACAAAAGCAACCACTGCATATGCATTTGCTTGCATCTTAAAAATGCTTTAACTAAACTATAACTCAATTTGCAATGATGTCATTGCTATGCACATGAATAGAATTTGTGTATGTACTTTCAATGACAATTATGTTAATTCTAATCGAATCTAACCTAATCCAATTCATACAAAGCGGTGACGAGACTGGGCAGGCTGGGTGAGGGTTTGCCTCGGAGTTTTAAAGAAACACAGCAATTCACTAGCTGGGGATAAAGGCTTCAAAAACATCAAAGCAAATTTGGTTCCAACCTATGTTCTTCTCCCACCTCGAAAGGTAATTATGGTGACATGGATCAAACATGACAGCCGTATTGAAATAAATAGATCCCTATTTATTATTATTATTATAGTTTCAAATCCTAGCAAAAGAGAGAAAAAGCCAAAGTTGAGGTCCAGAAAGTCCCTGCAGTGAATTTGGCAGACATTTCTTCAAAATGGACGTAACCTAGCTGCCATTTTATTGACAACAACACATTTAGAAGTAGCATAACTGCCAAAGTTAATCATGTTATTTCCGTATTTGTTGACTCAACAAAACATTTCCTCGAGGCAGCAGAAGCAATGGTACCAATTAGTGAGCCAACTGAAATAGCGCCTTCACCTTTGCAAAAGTATCACAAAGTCCAAAACATTTGCATGATCGTTTTTGCACAGCGGTCGACTGGTTAGCATATTACTGGACTCATGTTTAGGAAACCATCAA